ACGTGGGCAGGGGGTGTCCGTCGAGTCCCGTCCCCCTCCAATACCGCCCCCCCCGGCCCATAAAGACGAGGATGTGCCCTTGCGTAAATGAACGCCGTCGCCCCAAGACGCCGATGACTTCAAGAGTCGGGATCTGGCCCTCGGGTTTCGACGACGGGTTGTCTCTACTTTAGGAATTACGACATGGGGATGGATGGATGGATGGAGAGAAACTTTTTTTTTGCTTTCAAAGGATGCCCGGAGTTGAATTTGGCCCCGTACCAGCTCAGACGCATTCGTCACCTACAATTACCGCGACGACAAAGGAGGGGAAATAAACCTTAACGATAGCTGCTCTCCTGCTAAAAACAGGGAAAACCTCCTTATGAATCAGGAAATACAATCCACAATAATTGCCCCTGGCAAAACCAGGTGGGTGGCATTTCCCAAATGCCAAGGTAGCACAGCGAAAGCACGGTGGCACGGCGATAACCAGTGGGTGCCGGAGACGGTGAGCCCTGGAGGGGGGTGTGACATGGAGGGGGGTGATGGTGACAACGTCCGGGCACCAAACCCTGCACCCAAACCAGGCGGCAGGAGCAGCAAAGGTCCCGGGCGCTGCTGGAGAGAACTAAGGATGCGACGTCTCCTCCTTCGTTAACAGGAACCCGGTAATCACCACGTTCGGGTACGGTGAAAACCCCCAAAATTCCTCTTTCGTGCTCCGTAGCCAATTTGCAGCTTGCGTTACACATGTACATTTAATCATCCTGTTTTCAAAAATACCCAAAGCAATTAGGCGTTATTATGGAATCAGCGCTTGCCAATTTATTTCTTTTTTTTTTTTTTTTTTTAGAAGTCAAAGCTACAGAATTTCCTGGAAGTCTTGATCTCTTTTCATGCCAAATTCAGTAGGGGGAAAAAAAAAAATAACGAAAAAAAAAGAAGAGCCTTGACAATTCTTTTCTCTCTTCCTAAACAGTCATAAACATCCCTCTTTTGAGGCCAAAACGTACCCTGGAGTGGCTCTTCATCCACCTGCGAGCTCCGGCAAACTCGGAGCTTGTAGAGGAATTTTTGCTGAAGCGGATAAAAACCGGTGACGTCTCCAGAAGAGCTGGAAACGCCGCGGGCAGGTTTTGCCCGGCATCGATCCGGCACGCCGTGCCACACGGCTTTGCCTCTTCCCATAGCTCTTGCTTGGTGGATGCTTGCGCCGGGCGGCAACGGTCAAGCGACGGACCCCAAATCCATCCCCCAGCCTATTTTTTCCATCCACCTGAAGCTTTTCACAATATTTCCAATTAAAACGCCTCCTTCACCGTCATAATTTTAACACTCGTTATTTAGATTTAATCTGCGGAGGGGAAAAGTCCTCATCCACATCCAGCTCCACCAGCGAAGGATCCGGCTGGCTCTCGCCCATGGGGATGTTCGGTGTTACCAATAATTCTGGCCACCTAATAATTATTACCTAATTATCTACTAATGATTCCTGGTACCCCTCATTTGCGTTACTCATTGTCTCTTTTCAGAGAAGGACAGTGGGAATCTGAGTCATTGGCACCAACAGGAGATTCCCAAGGCTTTTTCTGCAGGTTCCCGAGGATTTTTCCCTATTATTTTTCTATTTTTGGATGTGTCCTTGTTTGTTTTTAGAACGGGCCAAAAAAAGGAACGGGTGCTGCCGGTGGGGAAGGAACTGCTTTTCTTCTTTTTTCTTTTCGGAAACTGCTTTTTGCAGATTTTTTTTTTTCCGCAACCTTTTGTTTCACCGACGCGGCCGAAAGATGGAAAGTTGAGCCTTTCTTTAAAAAAAAAAAAACAAAAAAAAGATTTTTTTCCTTCATCTCTTTTTTTTTTCAGAGGGGAAAATGGAAAAAAGTTGTTCCATGAGGAGTGGAAGGGATGAAACCGGGTTTCCTTCGGGCGCGCCCGAAGGATGCTGGCTGGGGAGACCCTCCGGTGTCTAATAAGGGGCTGTGCCCCCCTCCCATCCCTGGTTGGGAAAAGGGAAGGCAATTCCTCATATCCCTGGAAATCCTTCTCCTCTCCCAAAGGCTTCCAGCGGGTTCAGGAGTCGTGGGGGTCAGACGAGCAACCTCCAGCCACCGACACCCTCAAAGAAGGGAACCTCACGGCCGAATTTTCAAGAGGTTTCAGCCCAGTAACAGCATCCTTCGCCTTTCTAAAATCTCCCAACGACGAAGCGGTCCAGGAGGTTTTTAAGCAGCTTCCAGCCCCCCCGCCCCAGCTCTGCCCCGTATTTACCGCCTGAACAAAGCGCAGGGAAGAGCCACGGGCAGAATTTTGCCATAAAATCATCCCGGGGCTTCTTCCCTCAACCATTTTTAGGGAGGAAAGCAGAGCAGCGGGGCGAAGGCAGCTCTGTTCGCCCAGCCCCAGATCCCCCCCCTCCCCGCAGCCCATAGCATCACCCCGCTCTGCATTTCCCCTCCGCGGGTCTAATCTATTTGGTGTCTCGACAGCAGCTCTCGCCTTGATCTCTTCCCTCTCCCCGGCCACTAATTTCATCAAATTAGTCGTAACTTAATTATCTCGGAGCCCCACACCTCCCTGCCGAGTTCGGTTCGCAGCATCCCGAGCTGCGGTGCCGTCATCCCTGCTCCGGTAGGAAAATCGGTCGGTAGCCCCAAGAAGCATCAAACGGGGAGAAAAATCCTTCCTGGGGGGCTACAGGCAGCTGGATAAATAAAAATAACCCTCGCTACAGCACGGGGCTGCCGGAGGTGTGGGCAGTGAGGGAAAGAAGGGGATGGGGACGGGCTCCGCATCTGGCAGAGCAAAAAAAAAGTGCGGTGGGATGGGGAACCACCGGCGGTGGGGGGTGACCGGGGGCCGAGTCGCAGTGAGATAGGAGCCAAAGCAGCGCGGCTCGCAGCGATCTGCTGCCCAAAAAGAAGTTTGGGACAATTTCCAGTCCTATGAGCATCGGTTGCTGGTTTTTTCCTTTTGGACCAAAAAAAAAAAAAAAATAAAGAAGTGCCCTCCACATTTTCTGCTTTTTGGTAAGATGATGTAAAAGGAAAACAATCCCGCCGGAGCGAGAATCAACCCCAAAGATTCCTGTTTTCAAGATTTTTGCAAGGTCTTTTAGAAAAGAGCTTTCCTTCTCGTTCCTCCTCATCCCCTTTTCCAAGGGAAAAAAAAAAAAAAAGAAGATGCCAAAAGGCACGAAACCTTTTTGTCACTGGGGGAACACAGCTATTTTTCATATACAATAAGATTTAAAAATCAATTCCTTCACAGCAAAAAAAGGAGGAAACCAGGGTGAGAACCCCACATGACAAAAAAACCCCAAAGCCGCTCATCATCTGCCCATCTCCCTGCCAGCCCCCGGTCCCCCCTCCACTCTATCAGGAGTCCCCCCCCGGCAGGTCCCGCTCTCCCAGGCAACGTTCCCACTCCCGTGATCCATCCCAGTCCATACGGGAGCAGATTCCCAACCCGAAGAGGGTGAAAGAGCAGCCGGAAACGCGGAACACGTGAGGGGAAAGGATGCTCGGCCAGGATGCGGCTGACTTCCCTTAAGGGGAGGGAGACTCCACCAGCCCCGGGTGGGTAAGTCGGGGCGAGGATGAGGATGAGGATGAAGACGCGGTAGCGTCTGTATTTCACTGCCTCCTCGGCATCCTGCAAAATGCCTGATTTTAGGTACCTTGGGGAATAACAACCCCAGGGAAGGAGAATTAGGGAAAAATCCGCTCTCCCGGGACATTCAGCCAAGGAAAGGAATGAAATCATTGTGTGACTTTAAGTGGCCCCAGAGCATCCCCGTGCCCGGCCGGCTCTGCTCTCGTCCAAGTCCCTTGGCACAAACTGGCACGTCAGCCGGGCTGCGAGGAAACGAGAAGCGACAGCGAGGAGCAAAGCCGACGTGATCCCAGTCCGGGCACGCACGTGGCACCCAGCGTGCCTGTCTGGGGGCCTCAGCTGTCCCCCGCCTGATTAAGGAAACCCCCCTCTCTGCATTAAGAGAGATTTTCTCAGATTTAAAAGCTTGCAATGGCCAGGACTTTGCCGGGCACGGAGAGAAGCCGCGGG